GTGTGTGTGTGTGTGTGTGTGTGTGTGTGTGTGTGTGTGTGTGTGTGTTTTGGTGTGTTTTGAGCTGAGAGAGTCTTCCAGCCCAAAGTCACCCAGTCAGCTTTCAGCCTAAGGTAGGAATAGAATTCAGTCTCCTGGTTTCTAGCCTAGTGCCTTACTGCTGACTACTTTCATTGCTTGGGCAAATAGAAAGACAGGATATAAATATTTTAAAAATAAGGTTAAAATACAGGTATCCTTATGGCAAATTGTAATTTCTAAAATATGCCTTTCAGGTCCACTAAAATAGAGATTTTGTCTGGGGTTTGTCTGTATTTTACCCATACAGAGTTTTTACTTTAGGTGGTGGAATGTTTATCTTCTTATCTGCAAAAATATTGGGCAAGGGATTAGGGACAATTTATATCCCTATCCTATAGTACAGGATACGTAAACCTGATTTTCTTACTGAGAAGCAGACCAGAAAAATGTAAAGATGAATAGTGCTGTATTGACCTGTTTGTTATGATGATCCAAGACAGCTGGATAAAGGCTGCTACAGTTGAGTCAAATATAAATTCTGTGAGTAAACAACTTGTGAGTGGAGTCAATATTACCTCTGGATCACCTTGGGAAACTCAGTCATTCCCTTTATTTAAAGACAGAACTCTCTAAGCCACATACTTTGCTCTCAGTCTATAAACTAGCCTACTGCTTCAGGTGTGCTGGATCACATTTTACAATAGCAGTTAGTTAGACAATCAATAGTCCTGCATTCATCTAAATCCAGTGGTATCAAACTTGCGGCCCATGGGCCGGATGCATAACATGCTGGCCACACCCACCACCGCTTAAGCGAAGGGGGAAAAGTTGTGATACATCATGTTACAACAATGTGCCACCACGAGTTTGACACCCCTGATCTAATCCAACTTGGATGAGATGAGATAACCATCCTGTCCTTCTCTGCCAGCAACAGAAGATCATAAATTAGGACTACGTGTATTTACCATTTTAAATGATATTGGTCCTTACAATTTAGCTGATCCCAAATGTTGAGGAATTAGATTATACATCAGGACAGTTATGAGGAGCATTGGAATCTATATGTGACTATATCTCAGAACAGGCAATTTGGAAAATTATATTATCTTTGAGTATTCAGATTCTCTCTCGGTCCTTCAGCATGAGAAGCATCTTTGCTGTGAATATGAAAGACTTTTTAATAGCTGCTCTCTAAACTTCAGAACTGTTTGTCAAGGGAGATTAAATTAATTTTACCTCTTCCTTCATCAACTAATAGGACAAATGCTACCCATTTGCTGCTGAATTAGATTTGAACTGATATCTTAGGTTTTTTTTAAAGGTGTGTTTTACTGGTATTTGAATGCAACAACATACTTTTTTATTTCTAGAAATCTATAGTATGATGTTTGGGGGAAAAGACACGATATGGAAGAATTGTACTGAAAAATGATGGTTTAAGATTAATTAAGAATGCAAACTTGGCAAATAAAGATTTTAGAGATAAGGAAAGTGTGACCAATGATATGTTGCTGATTTACACCTATTAGCAGGTCCAGTCAGTATGACCAGTACAGGGTATATTGGATGTTATAAGTCAACAGAATCTAGAAGGTTGTAAGTCCTCATACCTGAGTGAGAATAATAATTTAATTTTTATTGTTACAAAGGAAATCCAGATTCAGATAGAGTGGTTATGGAAGAATCCCCAGATTCTAATTAGGGGAGTGGGGGAGAATACTTGCCTGAGAAAGAGCCATGCCTTTTAAGCTGTCTTCTGGAACCTAACTCAGGGCCAAGCTACACATTATACCGAACATCCTTGGAACATCTCTGAAAATGTACAGTTAGTCTTTGACGTAGGACCACAATTGATCCTAAAATGTCTGCTGTGAAGTGAAACATTTGTTAAGTGAGTTTTGCCCCGTTTTGCAACCTTTCTTGCCATAGTTTTTAAGTGAATCACTGCAGTTGATTCTAATAAAACTACAAAACTACAAAACTAGTTGTTAAGTGAATCTGGCTTCCCCATTGACTTTGCTTGTGAGAAGGTTGCAAAAGGTGATGGCATGACCCCGGGATATTGCAACCATCATAAATATGAATCAGTTGCCAATCATCTGTATTTTGTTCACGGGATCTGCAAGGGTCCTAAAGTGTGAAAACAGTAAGTCATTTTTTCCAGTGCCATTGTAACTTTGAACTGTCTCTAAGCGGAGGACTATCTGTATAGAACTGTCTGGAGAAAATATTATATTTGAAATCAAAGGTGGCCCAGGAAGACATGCCTTAAAACAGAATGAGCAAGTGTCACACTGGCAAAAGACCAGTGGCCTCCACCGTACCAGAAAGAGTGCCACTTTAGAAGGAGCATTGTACGTGAGTCTTTCCTCTACCCCTTGCTGCCACCCCCTCCAAATCTAGTGCCTGGAGCAATTGCTTTATTCTGTTTAATATCTATTGCGGAAGTTCAACAAAGCTTCAAGAAAACAGTATCAGAAAAAGATGTAACACTGAGATGTAGACATGTGCAGAAGTCTGGTCTGAGTTCTCTCTCATCTGTCCTTTCTCCCTGGCATGCTTACCTTTCCCAAGGATAAAGGTAGAAGTTCTGACAGTAGGGTTCACGGGGAGGTGGTGCGGCAGTAACTGTCTTCTGCGCAGCTATTTGCTCAGCAGGGTCTTCTGTCAAACTCTGCTCAATGGCCAACTGAATAAGTTCCTCCTCAGTCATGCTGCTGTAGAGGCTATATTCCTCGTGTCCAATTGTACCTGCTCTTGCTACGGTAACTTGCGTTGTCATTTTCCAATTTCTTGTAAGTCAGAAGGGATGGTTAAAAATAACCCTGGAATGCATATAAATACAGATCTCATACCTTATCATGGGTAGATCACATGGATTCTGTTGTCACTCAAGCAATACTTCACTCCCCAGTTTCCAAGCATATAACAGATAAAGGCTTCACACCTGATTTTGAACCTAAAACTTGTGGCCATATTGGGGAGAACATCAGCTGTGACATCCACTCCCACCCCAAGACAATTTCCACTGAATGCTAACTTTTGACATAAAGAAGGGGAGAAGTTATTATGTGATTTAACACTTCATTTCATCATAGTAATTATATTTATTTGGTTTAAAGACAATTTAATGTAATTTAAATGCATTTAATTTCAATCCTCTTCCCATTTTTTATTGTGACCAAACATTTTTACTTGTGAAAATGGTTTCTTGACATATCATTTAAAAAACAAGTGACACAGGAGTTTTCCATATCCTCTTGATGGATCATCTTAACTTCACAGTTACCTTCTTTGGAATAAATATGTTTTTCTCATTTGTTTTTTTAATTCTTAAATTAAACTTGTACAACTTATAAAGTAGTTAAAATGGTTGTCTGATTGTTTAATGTTTTTTTATTGTTACTACTGTTGATAATTTTCTTATTCATTTGATTTATATCCCACTTTTCTTCCAGCTCACTGCAATATTTCAAGTCTAAGGCAAAGTGTTATTGGGATAATCACATTACTAACTAAAAGCGTCTTATTAGTCTGTTCTAATAGATAGAATGTTTCATTATGTTTAGAGAAACCTTGTTTCAACTCTATATTTGACCATAAAAATGCATTAAATGACCGAGTCCAATTTGTGATACCTACTTTTGTCAAAACATTTCTTGGAATAATTAAATAGTAACATAAATAAATACAGTATATTTGCAAAAATTGGACTATTATTTAGTTCTTTCTCCCAGCGTCTTCATATGTCAGGTTTGTTGTTGTCCAACTTGTTGTTCAGGCATCCAGTTCATGTGATGGTTCTGGTAAAACATTAACCCCACTGACATCACTCAAATGATATCTTTCTTTGGCAGATCTTTTTGCATTCTCAAGCTCTTGTGTTTTGAATGCCTGAACTAAAGTTGAGTAAAAACAGAACGAGTGTGGAAGTAAATCATTGGGTGAGACCAAATAGATGACAGTGTTGCTTAGATGACTCATATAGTAAGTGCCTATTCTACTCTACATTTATAATACAGAAGTATCCCAGTATGTCTTGGGGGAATATGGAAGTATCCTTAAAAGAAGCAATGTTTCAGAACAGTTTCTTCTTCTTTCAGGCATATGTTTTGGCTGGCAACAACTAAAAACAGAATGCTGGGTAGGTACTCAGTCTGAAATCAAATATGTTATCCTTCTATTCATAATGACTGCGCCTTTGATTAACTGTATTGGTCTGGATTCCTAGGAGGGAGAGGGTACTTTCCAGAGGAGTAAGAGACAGCTCAGTGTGTGAGACAAAGAGGATGAAAACATCCCCTCCTTGACAGTTGTTACAGTATAAAAGTAAAGGTAAATGTTCCCCTTGCACATACGTGCTAGTCGGTACTGATTCTAGGGGGCAGTGCTCATCTCTGTTTCAAAGCCGAAGAACCAGCGCTGTCTGAAGATGTCTCCATGTTCATGTGGCCAGCATGAATAAACGCTGAAGGTGCATGGAACGCTATTACCTTCCCACCAAAGGTGGTCCCTATTTTTCTACTTGCATTTTACATGCTTTCAAACTGCTAGGTTGGCATAAGCTGGGACAAGTAATGGGAGATCACTCCGTTATGTGGTGCTAGGGATTCAAACTGCCAAATTGTTGACCATTCTGATTGACAAGCTCAGCGTCCTAGCCACTGAGCCACCATGTCCTTTTCAGTCCCTATTCTTAGAGTCCCTATTCCCTATTCTAAGGGTATAGGCTTGTGTAAATAGAGTACTTTAATTTGGCAAGATTCTGGCTATGGAATAATAAAGAAATCTGCTTGGAAGAATCAACATATGTCTTTCTTAGATTTGGGGGCCTGATCAATTTCTTGATAAAGAAGAACTTAACTTTTGAGATTTAGAGCAAATTCATTCTTGATTGAGGGCATTCCCCATCTAGGACAAATATGTCCTGGAAACCTCATTTCTCTATGACTTACCAGGAGATTACCTTCATCTTATCCCCAGCCTATATCTGGTACACTTATGAACTGTCCTTAACTGTTCCAGTGCTAAAGCAATGTTTTCCTCCCATGTCAATTTTATTGTGGGTATAATCATATATGCATACCATTCTTCCTACTTCTGGTACCACAACATTGTCCTTCAGGACATTTCTGGTTTGGGCAAAGGGAAATCCAGGTCTTTTCAAATCAGGCTCTTCTTAACCAATACCTAACTCATGAGTCAGCAGATCTCTTAATTAAAATCTGATTCTCCCCATATACTTGCCTTCCCCCACAACTTAGGCAACTGATTCTCATGCTGGAAGAAGAGGAAAGCCAGAAGAGGAAAGCTCCCAGGTTTCCGTAGGTTTGAAGCCCAGACAGTAGAAACTGGTTCCCTTTCTTCAACTGCCTACTTTCTAACACTGGCAGCTGTTCCCCAGGGAAAAGTGGCAAGTGAAGGGGTAGTCAGGCCAAGGTGACTGGCACTATACCAGTCAAGTGTTAGATGAGTTTCTTTTGAATGTGGGTTTAGCTGTCTTGCTTCATCATTCAAATTCTTTGCATAGCCATTCTGTTTTCAGCCAGCTGTTAGTCAGAATGGGTTTTTTTTTATCCATACACACTGGGAATATATTTTGCTAGTCTAGCTAAGTATCAGAACTTCTCTCCTGACCAGCCCTCCTATCATTTCACATTATGAAAGTCATTGGTGGAAGTTTTTCATCTGGTAGCATTTGATGGAAGAGAAGTGAAATAAAATCAGTAGGATCTACCTCAAATTTCTGAAGATAGCAATAGCACTTATACTTATATACCGCTTCATAGGGCTTTCAGCCCTCTCTAAGCAGTTTATAGAGAGTCAGCATGTTGCCCCCAACAATCTGGGTCCTCATTTTACCCACCTTGGAAGGATGGAACACTGAGTCAACCTTGAGCCTGGTGAGAGCTGAATTGCCGAACTGCAGCTAGCAGTCAGCTGAAGTTGCCTGCAGTACTGCACTCAAACCACTGCACCACCTTGGCTCTAAGATGCCAATAGTGGCTGCAGAAACAAGACAAAGATTGACAATGGAAGTAGCAAATATTATGCTGGTGTGGTTTTCTGCAATTGCTTAGACTGGTGGATAGAATTTGGATAGATGGGAATCCATCAAAGATAAATTTATTAAATAAATAAATCATTAGGGTTAAAGGAAAAGGTACCAAATTAGAAGCAACATGATAGCCATGTGAATTTTATGCACTCATTGTCTCAGTTACATACAACGTAGAGATAGTTTTCCTATTCAGAGTGTTTGTATGTATTACTCGGAAGAATAATCTCCTTCTCCCTTGCACTGGCCTCTGATGCGTTGCATCCCTGTTCGGTATCCAAAAAATAAATCAGGGAAGGGATTTATCTACTTTATTTCACCATTCACTCCATTTTAAATAAATAATAATCCACCCCTGCTTTTTATGGGAAGGGGATAAGGCATATATGGTCAATTTTACCATCATAAACATTTTATTATAAACTTTGTAAATTAGATGGCTGTTTCTCTAAAATGTTGAATAGGTTCTGGGGATCTGAAAGGAAACTTCTTGAAGGATGTTCATCACACAAGCTTTCTTCCCAAGGCACAGCAATAGAAAGGAAAAACAACTACTGTAAACCTAGGAAAATGCACTTCGCTGAAGAAATAAATATTAAAAAATTGGCAGAATTTTTTAAAAAATCTAAAAGATTATTCCCATTAGTTGATATTTTCAGAGGATTGTATGCTTTCTACAGAATCAGAAGGGGCCTCTTATTAGTGCTATCACAAATCAGCTTTCCCTCTTTCCTTCCCACTCATCATTTCTAGGGTTGTGTCATATTTAAAAATATTCTGCTTGGGTCAGGTTGCAACTGGCATTTGCCAAGTATTTCATGTGACACATAAAACAAAATAAACAGCTTGCAGCAGGTCACTGTGTGAAAAGCATTGCAAAGCAAAACTTCCCTTTTGGAAGATACAGTGTCACTTGCTGTTTTGCAACAGCAATAAAACAATTATCTGGATACCCTGGAAAAGTTGTGCATTAAACAGCATAATGGTTTTAAATGTTTTAAATCCGAACAATATGACTTGGAGACGAAGCTAAATTTGTCATAAAAACTAAACTTTGGAGGAGTGGCATCCCCCTTAGATGCCATTAAACTACAATTCCCAGCATCCACAGAGGTTTCAAAAAACAATGTTTGGGCGTAAATATACTAAATCAAATCCAATAAACTACAATTAAATTTAGTGCACCATATGAATCAGGATAGTGTGCAAGCTGTTGTTTATTGTCTAAGACTACCCACTGCACGAGCCATAATTTTCCAAGCATTTGATTTCCTAACACAGATATTACTTTGCAGATTTCTCAATCCAATGTCTTTAGCTGAACTGAATAACTTGTAGATCGAGAACTGCCATATATATTTACAAGCTGGTTCAGCACAAAGCAGGGCAGCTCCTGATGATGAAACATTTCTGAGTAAATAAATCCCATCCATCTTCAGCTGCCTAGACAGCTGTTTATGAAGTAAAGTTGGCACATCACTTGACGCAACAAGTATTTTGCCCTATTTTACTGCTCATCACTGCATCCATTCATCCACACCACTGGTATAAAGAGCTAAAACTATCTGAATAAAATAAATTGTAACTTCAAATGACTTTTCCTCTTGTCTGCAAAATGGATTTAGTAACTGGAAGATGTTCATATTGTCCATTGTATATTTCAGAAGTAGTTCCTAGAGAAATGCATATAGATATGTACCTTGTAAAAAGTAATTTAAATTCAAACTAACATATATTTTAAAAGGATGACGTTTGTCCTGCTACCGCATCTGTAAATTCTTTCTCCTAGCCAATTCATTACAATTCAGCATTTGGAGAGAGAGAGAAATATGCATACTGCATGCAATATTAATCCTGGAACAAAATAATACATTTAAACCATGCATGATTACCTTGTAATTTGTAGAAAGTTGTTTACTGCGGAATTATTATTTCATGGACTATTAAATCAGAATATTCCCGTTTGGATGCATTGCTCTCCTGTCTCTCTGTGTTGATAAAATGCAGAGCAGCTTTGAACTTTCTCCTGCTTTGAAGTCTGGAGTTTATTTCTGGATCACCCCATGATCAACATTTACAAGCCAAAATGTAAGTTGTTCTGCATATCAAATTTCCTGTCTGAAGTTTGAAACAACATGACTTGTTACTTCTCTTTAGACTTCTTTCTGTAGCACTATAATTTGTAGAACTTCATTTTGCCCAACTTCCTTTCACTAAATGACACAAAGCCAGCCCTTTTATTATATCACTATTTATTTGCCGTCCTGGACAAGTAGACCATATATGGCCATTCTGCTGATGGTGAAAGGAGGAAAAACTGCCTGTGATTCTCTTTAGCACATCTACTTCATTTATAGCCCTGGCTTTCTTTAAGATTGTTTCTCTTCTGGTATTTTTAAGACTCAAGTTCCATCAATAAGAACAAAGAGGTCAGGGATAATGGGAGGATTAAAAATTGGCCAAAAGGTTTTAAAGAGTGGAAAAGTGCTGTTTTAGTTCATTGGAGAAGATGTAGGACAGATCTCTACATCTGAGTTAACAAACTGTGAATTCTATAACAACAGGTATTACTCACCATTTTTCATCACAGGGGCAAAGTACCTAGAAAATTAGAAACTTTGCACTGAAACTCTTCAACTTAAAAAACACCATTTAAGTGTCTGCTTTTTAGATAAGACTTTTAATGCAATTGGATATAAAAATTGGATAGGGTTGAAGATTTAGTTTGCATGTTGGACTAAGCAAGATACTGTATATTAATTATCCACAATTAGTAAATACATGGCTAAGGCACAACCATGGTCTATAATTTGTGGTATGATCTAAGATACAATATAATATATTATATCTAATATATATATATATATAATATCAGATCCAAGATATAATATAAGATATAAGATATGATATAATTTGCAGTGTGAT